AATAAGAGGAATGTAAGTGTTTAAAAAAAAAGGGGGGGGGGGGGGAAGTTAATTCATTTCTCCTCTTCTGTATTCAAGTGGTTTCTAACAGATTCCAGAGACATATTCATAGCTGCCTGAAGCATGTCTTCTTCACTCATATCACCTCCTAAAGAAAATAAATGCATGTAAGTTGTAATAAATGCACAGAGCTGGTTCTCAACTGTAGTTAAATGCTATCATTGCTCCCTTTGTCCACACCCGCCTGTTTCCACCCCACCCCCAAAATAGGCTTTGTTTTACAAAATCATTGAACATTTTGCACTTAGCATTCCATCCACAACAGTCAGTTTGTAACAAGTACTATATATTTATTTGGGATCACCAATACTTAATAAAAGCAAGGCCTACATACTTATATTCTACTGAAAACTGGTTCCAGTAATTTTGTCAGACACTACTCAAAGTTTATTACATTATCACACTACTTTAGAAGTAGCTTAGAAAACAAATTATTGGCACAAATCCTATCTAAGATTACAATTGTTAATACTCAAGCCAAACAAAACAACAAAAAGACAGAACTAAGATGGTCTAACAGTAATGCTCTTCACTTTGAAACACGATATTGACACTCAGAGCAGAACAGGCTTTTCAAGAAAGTGATCCTTCACTGCCAAAAAGAGTAATGGCTCTGATAGACCATCTGAATGGCTGCCAGTGCGAGGAAGCAGGCAGTCAAGGAAAGTTAGGAAACAGAGCACAACACAAAAACAGAAAAGACAAATATTATACTGTTGAAAATAAGTTTAAAAAACAATACCTGGGTCAGCTTCCGGAGTGCCCGAGCTTAGAGTTGGCTTATTGTGTAGGTTTTGAGTCTGATCTTGCTGCTGTAGCTGTTGCTGCTGCCTGAAAGTGTTATAAATTTATAAGAGAATAAGATTAAGATTGGTAGGAGACCTGTATCAAGTCTAATTCATTGTAAGGAAGGCCAAGAGTGAGAACTAGAAGCTGTTTGGTACAGTAACAGCCCTGCACCTAAAATCTCCTGAAATGTTTCACCCTGTTACCCCTCAGACACCTATCTTCCCAACATTATATGGCCAAGCCACATTACTGTTTTCCTAGAATTTGGATGTTCTGCATTCTTACCATCTCATGCGAAGTCTAACTCCTCCCATCCATAGCATTTCTATTTCCTCCATCACTAGGAGACAGAGATAAGGAAAAGCTATAATATTCCAACGATGTATCCTGAGGGTACTCAGTTCCCTGAGTTGGACTGCAGAGATGGGGAGCTGACTGAAGTCCCCATAATTCAGGAAGAAATGGTTAGTGTCTCCTGTTCCACTTAGACTTACACAAGTCTATGGGATTGGATTGGTTACACCCAAGAGTGCTGAATGAGCTGGCAGAGGAGCTTGCTAAACCACTCTCCATCAGCTATGAGCAGTCCTGGTCTAGTGGGCAGGTCCCCGAGGATTGGAGGTTGGCCAATGCAACGCCTCTCTACAAAATGGGCAGGAAGGATGACCCTGGGAACTACAGGCCTATCACCCTGACCTCAATGCCAGGGAAGGTCATGGAGAAGATGATTCTAAGTCAAATCACAAAGCACGTGTGGGAAGACAGGGATCAGGCCCAGTCAGCATGGGTTCATGAAGGGCAGGCCCTGCTTGACCAACCTGATCTCCTTCTGCAATAAGGTGACCGCCTGGTTGATGATGGAAAGGCTGGGACATTGACTATTTGGACCTAAAGCCTTTGACATTGCCTCCCACAGCATTCTTCTGGAGAAACTGGCTGCTTATGGCCTGGATAGGTGTATTCTTCACTGGGCTGGAAACTGGCTGGATGGCAGAGCTCAAAGAGTGGTAGTAAATGTTATCACATCTAGTTGGCAACTAGCCAATAGTGGCATACCTTACAGCATGGTATTAGGGCCACTGTTGTTGATGATCTGGATGAGGGATTGAGTGCACCCTCAGTAAATTCGCAGATGACACCAAGGATAGGAGGGTTCTGCAGAGGGATCCGGACAGGCTCGATCAATGGGCTGAGGCCAGTGGTATGAGGTTCAATAAGGCAAAATGCCAGGTCCTGCACTTAGGGCACAACAACCACATGCAACGCTGCAGGCTTGGGGAAGAGTGGCTGGAAAGCTGTTCAGCAGAAAAGGACCTGGGAGTGTTGGTCAGTCTAGCTGAACATGAGCCAGCTTGTGCCCAGGCGGCCAAGAAGGCCAATGACATCCTGGCCTGTATCAGAAACAGCACAGCCATTAGGGACAGGGCAGTGATCATCCCCCTGTAGTGGGCACTGGTGAGGCTGTACCTCAAATCCTGTGTTCAGTTCTGGGCCCCTCACTACAAGACATTGAGATGCTGAAGCAGGTCCAGAGAAGGGCAAAGAAGCTGGTGACGGGTCTGGAGCACAAGTCTGATGAAGAGTGGCTGAGTGAACTGGGGTTGTTTAGCCTGGAGTAAAGGAGGCTTAGGGGACACCTTACTGCTCTCTACAACTACCTGAAAGGAGGTTGTAGTGAGGTGGGGATCAGTCTCTTTTCCCAAGTAACAAGTGATAGGACAAGAGGTAGCGGCCTCAAGCTGAGCCAGGGGAGGTTTAGATTGGGTATTAGGAAAAATTTCTTCACTGAAAGGGTGATCAGGCGTTGGAACAGGCTGCCCAGGGAAGTGGTGGAATTGCCATCCCCAAAGTGTTCAAAAATGTGTAAATAAGGCCCTCAGTGACATGATTTACTGGTTTGGCAGTCCTGGGGTAATGGTTGGACTTGATGATCTTAAAGGTCTCCACCAACATAGTTGATTCCATGTATTAAGAAGGTATTCCAGAACAGCAACATGTAATACCATCTAGAACACTTTTGTGTGATGCACATTAGAGGCATCATTATGAGAAGCAGTCTTTGAGAAAGAATGCTTTTCTTCAGAAAAATCATTAAAGAAATCTACAGGATTTCATTTAAAATATACCTGAAGGGGGCCTACAAAGAAGCTGGAGAGAGACTCTTTAGCAGGGACTGTAGCGATAGGACAAGGGGTAATGAGTTTAAACTTTTAAGAGGGGAAGGTCAGGTTAGATATAAGGAAGAGGTTCTTTACAGTGAGGGTGGTGAGGCACTGGAACAGGTTGCCCAAAGAAGTGGTAAATGCCCCATCCCTGGCAGTGTTCCAAGGCCAGGTTGGACAGAGCTCTGGGTGACGTGGTCTAAGGCGAGGCATCCCTGCCCTTGACAGGGATGCTGGAATTAGATGATCTTAAGGTCCTTTTCAACCCTAACCATTCTATGATTCTATAAAATGTATTTCCGCCCCCCCCCGCCCCAAGACTGATGTTGCACTACTAATAGAACTCCTATTATTTACAAGTTTCTTTTCTTCTTAAGGAGCCATGCAGGAATAGCAAAATTCAGGTACTGTTAGGAAAATGTTAAGAGAGAAAAGTTAGGTTTGATCTCAGTGAGAAACTCATCCACACCCTAGCAGCACTAGGAAATATGACATGTACTTCCAGATGTAGTTTTGTATCAAATACTTTACTTTTCAAAATACGCTTGTCTTCTCCTTCGCAGTTCTTCTGAAGAAAGGGAGTCTGTCTGACTGGTGTGAGGCAGCTGAGGAACGTTCTGTGGTAATGAGCCTGAGATCTCACTTCGACGACTACCTAAAATGAGAACATACAATATCCTACTAATTACTGTAAAATGAAGTTAGTAAATGAAATACAGCTTAAGAAAATGTCTTCAAACTTCAGAGGAATAAATATGCTTATGGGAGAAATAAGCACCTAGGCTAACTCCACTTGATACTATCTCCTCTTCACATTAGGACTGCTTCCTTTCCTTCCTGTCACCCTTTGCCAATTTGTTCTTGCTTCCCAATGATGAATGCTAACATGCAAGTGACAACTTTTCAAAAGCAGAAAGGAGATAGCTACACAGAGTTCTGGACTGTCCTTCCATGCCTCAAAGCCAGTCTTTTCAGAGAGCTTGACTCATGTTGGAAGAAGTGGCTGACTGAAACTGATTTCAGTAGCTGCCTTAAAGCATAAGCAACATGAACACTCTAAGAGAAATTTAGATGAGCACTGCACCTTGCATGCTGAGTTGAATGGCTCTGCGAAGATCAGCTTCTTCATCTTCCATATCCATTTCCTGCCTACTTAGAGCCAGGGCTTTCTGAAAATTCTCTTCATCTTCATCTAGCATGCCTGTTCCATCATAAGGATGGTTAACATCTATTGCTTGGTCCACATCACTTCTGGGTAGCCTGTGAAATTGATATATTTATGACAGAACTCAGGCAGAAATAGTAACTTTTACTATTAAATTTGAAGTCAGTATTTCCTAATGTTTTGACTTAATTTTTTTTTTAACTTTGGGGAAAAAAACCCTTCTATTGTGAAAACTTGTTATATAAACAAGTATTTTCATTTCTACATGAAGCAGCACAAAAGGACTGCAAGAGCTTGCAGCTGTAAAAAAATGAATACTGCAAAACTCTAAACCCATGCAGTAAGTCTACAAAAAGCAGTAATACATGTCATTTAAACCAATTGCTACTTAAACAGAAAACAGTGCATGTGGTCTCTTTCTCAGGAAACTGATAACCACACTAGAGAAACAGGTCCTCTGTAAACTATACACACGTTCTATGTTACCACCAAGTAGTTTGTTTTTATTCCATCAATTTACAACACCAGTTTACCTTTACAAAGTGGAAGAAATAATAATGAATTAATTCCTCTGAAAAGCCGTAAGCAATTGGCTTATTGCAATTCATTCACTATGAAATTGTGATAGAATTGTTGCAGAAGTAGTACTTTATATGCTTTCAAGGATATTTCATACAAGCAGTACCCTTCACAACAGAGCAGTACTACAACATGTACAGTGAAATTATTCCAAAAGGGAATGCTGTATGACTTACACGATGTGAAATTCAGGTATGGGTTTCTTGTTCTTTTCTACTTATAACAGAATGCACTGAGCAGTCTTAATTATAGATTGATTACTATTAACCATAGTTTGGTAAGATTTGTTTACCCATTTTACAATAATTGGAAAAATACTGTAATTGTTAAGTTAAAAATCTGCACTGTACAACACTTCCGCACATGGGAAGATGAATCCTTATTCAGGCAGGTTTTGCCCACTTAAAAATACACCATTTATATTCACTGACTTACTGTTAACTTTATGCAACAATAGTAAGCACATTGCATTAAAAATACTTCTAATTACTTCTTAAGGAGGTTGTCTCCATAGAGACATTAATCATGGAAACCAGTCATACTGTAACATTACTAAAACGAAATCTCTGTTTACTTTACCTCTGATCTCTTGTAGGTGCTGCCTCTTCTCCAATTAGTTTTGGTCGCTGTATCTGCTGTACCCGAATCATCTGCAATAGCTGATCAGCCTCACAGTCTGGCAGGTCACCTTTTACTACAAATATGGAATAACCTGAGGAAAATAAATTGTAAGTCTACAGCATTAAGGTGCATGCAAAAACACTCTAAAATGCACACTATATGGAACACAATGATGTGCAATTTATTACAATGAAGGGCTCTACCTTTCATTATAAAGGACTTGGGTTATTTCACTATTTCAATCATAAAACTAAGGATAATTAACTGAATACGTAAGTTCTAATTAATTAATGATTATTACCTACTTTTAATTAATGAGATTTAACATCTGCAAGTTACTATTACCTTCCTGTTGTAATTGAGCCAAGAAAAGTGCAAGATATGTATCTGATATTAGTTCTGGACCCATCAAGAGAGAGTTCAAGTTAAACCACTGTAATTAAGAAAAAAAAGGTTTGAGAGAACATATTAGCATAAAGATTTCTCGGTAACCCATTTCTGTACATTCTGGTCATTTTCTACGATGGAATATCCGAATAAATCTAGTAAATTACCAAATTAAAAGTCTTTGAAGCACAATACCTCTAATGCTAAAGGTTACCCTTCAAATACTCTTCAGCTAACAGGAGGTATGAAGTTGGAAAATTACTGCATGCTCTCTCCCATTACTGAACACTGGTATCAGGCAAACAGACTAAAACAAGCAAGTCAAAATATAATAGTAGAAGAGTTATTTCAGACATCATTCTAAAATTCCGCTTAATCCGAGTTTTAAGTCTGTTCAGAGACTAATAAGGGAAGAAACTCTTCATGAGTTAATGCTGTATCTTAAGAAATTAACAGATACAGGAAACAGAAGTTGAATTTTTTACATAAAATACCTTCATTAAACATTCTGCCTTTAACAGCTGAAAACTATTTTTTTATTTAAAAATTAAGAAAAATAACTAAAATTTAATATGCTAATAGTTGAGCATAATGTTATAATAGGAGATAAATATAGACAGTTTATAGTTCCCTGAAGACAAGCAGTCATTTATAATACTTCTCTACAGAGAAACCATATACTATATGGATGTCAAAATATCCTATCTTTAAACCCTCATATATATTGCAATCAATCTGAAGAACCTTATTTATACCATACTCATTCAATACTACCCATTTTAACCAGGAAGCATCATTTCAGATAGTGGGAGGAGAATTCTATCTCCGTTCTCACAAAAATGTGTTTATCTATCCAAACTTACATGTATGCAGTTATACACTTGCAGTTGGGCCCATACTATAATTCACCTGGAATAGAGATGTCTACCTACCAATTTGTCATTCAGTCACTGAATTTGCTAAAAACACCCTTTGCCACTGCGAAAGGGTAAGACAACCAACAATGTAGGAATGGGCAATAAAAAGTTACATAAACAAATGTGATGGACAGATTACAGACAAACTTTTAAAAGGGAACATGGAGAAGGAAGGTTTGGTAAACTGCTTTTGCTTTAACAGAAGAGAAGCAGGTCAAATCTATTTTTTTTTTCATTCCTCTCTAGATAGCACATACCTAGTATTGTTTTCATGTGGTTACAACCTGCATGTACAAACAGAAGACATTCCCCCTCCAACTTAGAACATTTTGGGCTAGAATACTACCACACAAAATTCCACCCAACACGGTTGCATATAAAAGAACATTCCCATACTTTTAAGAGACCATTCAACTGTTTTGATATTAAATATACAAAAATGGCCTGTAAACATTACCCATACTTTCAAATTAAAGCAGAACAGCAGAGTTTAATGTGTTTACTCACAGCTGGGTTTGGTTTGTTGTTTCTTTGTTTGGTTTCTGTTTGTGGGTTTTTTGTTTGGTTTTGGGGTGTGGGTTTTGATTTTTTTTTGTTTGTTTTTTTGTTGTTTTTTTGTTGGGGTTTTTCATCTGGATGACAAGATAGGTAGCCACCACATGCAAAAGGAACCAAATGCATAAAGAGACTCCTGTCCATTATTGTAGAACATGAAAGACTATTTTATGAATATTTTCTATGGGGAAAAAAAAAAACCCAAACCAAAACCAACCAACCAAAACCAAACCTGAAAACACCAAACCGGCTTATGTTGCATAAAAACTTATGCAGTATGATCCAGAACAATGATTGGCTACTGAAATAAAAAACTGCATTGGTGTTACAAGGTATATGGATGTGGCTTCAGTTACTACATCTATGTACCATATACTTGTATGGCCACCCCCTACCTTTAGTAACTACTCCCTGCTTATAAAACTGTTTCTGAAAGTTTTCTAAAATAGCGCAAAGCTGTGATTCTCCTTTCCGCAACCTTATCCTGATGGATACTCTTAAATACTAGCAACCATAAATATTAATACCTTTGAAATTTGCACATTTCCTTATGTCTACTGTCCATTTAAATGAGCATAATTATTTTTACAATGTAAATAAATTAATGCATTTGTTAGCATTCTATAGGGATGCTAATCTTTCTCTAGGACTCCTCTCACCCTCTTTTCATGCAGAAAAGAAAGAAAAGAGCTAAAGATGTCACACAGACTCTACCAAAACTGCAGCTCCCTAGAGGACAGGTTCACTGAGCAATTGATCCTAGGGTCTTTCTCCAGGCTAACATTCATAAAAAGTTACCTGGTATTTTTGTGATATAACAAACATTTAGCATTGACTCTATTTTATTTTATTTTATATGGGATACTATTAAACTGCAGCAAAAGCTTGCAAAAGGCCAAGACATGGTCTAGTTGCAACCACTTTTCCACCCCCATTCTGAAGTAAATTTTTAAGTAAAAAGAGACAATGTCACCTGTTTTCCTAACTTTCGAACTGTAAACCAGTGTTCCTTATAATTACAAATAAATGATTTTTCATTTCTGTAAAAAGAAAAACAAAAGGTATAGATAAAATTAAATACTCTACTATTGGAGTGCATATTAATGTTTAAGTTCTTTGCTACCACTAATTTAAACTTACATAATAAAATTTCAGTAATACAACTATACTATACTACTTTTGTAACATTTAGTAAGTTGTCAGCATTACTGAAATCTCCCTGTATCTATGATGCCACAGATACTGAGATATTATGAAGGCACAGAGGACGCATACTCATATAACACCCCCAAAAAGAAAAATTTAAAGACAGAGGGGATAATAAAACCATCAGAATGCAACAGAGCTTGAAATAGTAATTTTAAAGAAAGATTTAAGTCATATATTAAGAGTATTATTTTTCTGTAAAATGAAAGCAGGGTGCTAAGAAAAAAATGTCTTACATAGGGTCGATCCCAAGCCTCTGATACTCTGGGCTGTTGAAGAGGACTAGTTCTAAACCCCAAACTTTCAAGGCATTGCTTATAACCTGTCAAAAAATAGCACTTTTCATGAATCAAACCAGTCAAATCTTAATTTAAGCAATACAACCATTTAAACTGCTATAAGCAAACATACTAGTTTCATAAAACTTGGGATTTCAAAACACTGCTAGGAAACCTAGAAATCATATTATTCAAAAAACAGCTGTCATGAATCTACATGCAAACATAACATGCATGCCATACCTATGGGGAAGTAAGAAAACTACTAGGATTTAACTGAGTTGTATTAACAAGCTTATTCCTCCAGACACAGCTATAACTTCACCTCTCACAGACACTTCATAAGATGTCATCTCTTTGCTCTCAGTGTACTGCTCTGCCATTCCTGTCCCCCAATATCATGTCATCCTTCCCCTCAGTAACTCAGAAGTTTTGCACCACTGGAGTGCCACGGGATCAGGCATGTACACTAGCACAAACTCTTTTAAAGTAACTCTTTAGCACTAACTGAAATGAAGCTGTAAGAAATTTAAATTAACATTCATCGTCCTTTCAGCCAGTCAACTACGTAGCCAGTGAGCAAAGCAGTGACAGGGCAAAAAAAGTAGAATATGAGAAGCCTGGTTTTCAGCTTCAATACTGAAGCAGCGCAATGAAGAATATAATAAATGCCAAACTGTTAATGGCTTTTCACTGAATAGAACAAACAGCCCTGTCCTGCCACAAAAAAAAAAACCAAACCAAAACAAAAACAAACCAAACAAAACAAAAATAAAAACAACCCTCCCCCCCCCCAAAAAAAAGGGCTCTTGAGGGATTCTGGAACATTGAGAATCACCACTCAAACCTCAGGAGACAGCCAAAGGCGCAAAGCATCATCTACAGCTCCACCTAGATACAACCCCCAATTTGGTGTTCAATACCTTCTTCTTGTTGTTGTTTTGTATGTGTTATAAAAACTTGAATGTAGATATTACAGCTTTTTCCATTCTGCAGATTGCTGCGATAACCCTGTGACCAAGGGCTTTACAGTCTGTATTTGAGACGACAATCTCAAGTCTGCTCTTTCACCAGTAGTCTATAGGAGCCAAGATTTACACATGAAGTGCCTATAAGCAGCAACTTCGAATCAAGCTTATTGCCAGCAGGTGTCATTTTGCAGTTCGGGAAGTCCATGCTCCTACCGTGTGTTTAAGGGCCTATGAACTGAAGAATTGCAAGTCACTTAATGGAAAACCCTCTGAACATTTAGAAGTCCACTACTTAATTCCATGAAGCTTATAAACTGGAAACTAGATAAAAAGCTCAATGCTATTTAAATTACATAAGACACACTGCATAAATAGAAAAATTCTGTCAGTATAAAGCCATGCTTACTTGAATTGAGAAGAATCCACTATCATCCATATTTACAGAAGGCTGCTGCTCAGTATGAGGTTGGGAGGAAGAGAAGGGAAAAAAGGTGTAAGCATCAAAGATCAGAAATAATTAAGTTTTGAAACCAAATATAACTATGCATACTTAAAGCAACAACTCAGTATGCCCTAGTATGTAAGGCTGATTACAATACCCAAATAAGCTTATTAATTAAAACCCCCAAACTTTTAAATTAGAAATGCTCAGTGCTGAAAGGACAGGCAGGCATGGGAACTTCTGCTCCTACCTCTGCCACTAGCTTACAAAAAAAAAAAAAAAAAAAAAAAACCAAAACCAAAAAACTCAAAAACCCCAAACCCCCAAAAAAGGCAAATTGCTGATCCTCTTCCTCCTCACCATGCCTGACCCCCCTACCTGTAAGATGAAGATAATGTAGCTTTTTGGAGAAATTTCATAAAGCTGCACTAGTAACATTTGAGAATGCTAAATTTAAGATGTGTGAATGAAAAGACCTATAAAAATTAAGAAGTTTCAGCACTGGGAAATTAACCTTCTCTAGCCATGCAAACATAGTGGGTCTATGGTATAAAATATTAGATTTCAGGCAAATATCAAGTAAACTCAAATTAAGATTATTTTACCTGCAAAAATGTTCTATATTCTTCACTAGACACTCCTCCTTCTGCCATTCTCATTCTTTCTTCCTCATCCAACTGCTGTGCAATAGAGGATAATTCAACAGGACTAAAATATTCCCCTTGTAGCAAATTATTCAGACAGTGCTGAGCACACAATGAGCCTTCTTGCTAACATTGGAAGAGAAAAAAATACCAAAGACAACAACAACAAAAAAAAAATCACATTAATGTTTTACTCTGTAAAATGACTCAACCATTTAATTTGGGCATCCTGCCCTCGCCACTCACCCAGAATGCCATACATTCTTTGGATGTATTACACTGCAAGCTATAGAATACAACCCTCCCATCTATTTGATGGGAACAAACCATCACGCATACTACTTTATTTCCTCAAAGGCAATAAGTTAATGTCAAAATGTTATTTTTTAAAACACCGGAAAAATTGCCACTGGCCTGACCAAATCACACAAAGACTGCAACTATCTGGACAATGGATTCTGTCCTCTTCCAAGTCACAACCACAAGAAAATCAAACAGTTTTAGATCTCTACTTTCCAACAAAAATGTTTCTCTCGAACTTTTAAAATTTTTCTTCCCTACCAAGTGTGGCTATTGGCAATTTGCTTTCCACATGTGGGTAAAGCAAAGCAGACCATTAGGACTTTGAACACATTAAAAAGTATACATCTACAGAATTTATTTCCTTCATTTCAGGCTACTCACCAAGTTTGGGTCATAGCCAGTTTATTGCAGAAAAAGTTATCAGGAGCTGGAGGAGGAGTAAAGCTCCTTTTCCACATTATATTTATGGATAGAAATTAGGTAAAAGAGGCTAATACTACTGGTTCTAAAATTCTGATGACAATGATGAAGTGACAAGAAAAAAAAATAAATTCAGTATATTAAACAATGAAAATATTTTTGTTGATAAACCATCTAAATGGAAAACACTTCAGATACATTTCTGTTATGTTCAATGTGCTGGATATGAAACAAAGTAACAAAACATCTTTTAGACTGTCAACCCAAATTAAAAATTTGTAAATTAAGTAGAATAGTAGAGTAACTAAACTACAAGTGCAAGACAAGATTAACATCAGTTTTTAAATCCTGATTTCTCTTTTGTTTTAATGAGTCATCATTTTTATTTACATTAATAACCCCAGTGTGCATACACTATTAAAAACAAAAGTCCCAACTAAAATAAGTAACACCCCTTCCTCCCACCAAACCCACAGAAACTAAGAATGCAAAAGCATGGCTTGGAGGAACAGATTTTGAACTTCCATGAAAGCCTCATATAAATCATACGCACAAATCTCCCATGATCTCCCTTACAGCAGGAACACTGAAAGTTCCCTCTACCACAGACCACAGAATCTTTCTAGGACTTCATCACTCAACTGAGCAATGAGTTATTAAAACTAGACGGGCTATACAGCCCAGGTGAAAGAGAATCTAGAAACCTCCTCCAGCTCATGTCCTTCCCTGAGCAAGGATCTCAAGATTTAAAGCAGCTCCCATCCCCTTGATACCACATCCCTGTTGCTGGTCATATGATAAAGCTATAACAGAAAAACCTGTTCAAGAATCACTGGTTTCTCCACCAGAATTATATGAAACTCATTCAGAAACAAAAAGATATTAAAATACCTTTGAAAATGAGTTGTAATACAGGCTTCAATCTTAATTTTACTAAAAGGATCTTTCTGTATTTGTACAGTTTTATCTTAAAGTAATAAATACTAATTTTCATTTTGCCATTGGAGGAAATTTTTAACAGACATTAACTTCAGGGTTGGGTTGGTTTTTTTAAATGCAGAAAATGCTACATCTTTCCATAACCTGTGATTTCCTCCTTGAAATCTATCCTGATATAAACTGCTGCCCTACTTTCAGTGTTTTCAACCACTAATATCAAAGAAATTACCAACTTCTAAATTAGTGGTTCCTTAAGCCCCATCCTTAAGTCCTGCTTTCTGCAACTGTCACACTGTTGATAAAAATGCCCCATTGCTTAGGTCTTTGTTTTGATAAATTTCCTTTATAAATACCATATTTTTCATGCCTTTTTATCAAAACATCTGAGGTGTGCAGATTGAAGTGTGGGGACGTGTGTGCACATACAGCACTTTAAATATTTTGACACCACTTGATGGGGGGGAAGGGGGAGAATACCCCTTAAGAAAAGGGACAGAGGTTCAGTTAAATTTCCTGTAGAATAACGACAACAAGATAAAATAGTTGGTACTCCAATTTAGAAGAGGCATTCAAGTTTAATTTTGTAACTGTGTAGCTGACTTACCAGGGAACAACCCAAGACTGCACCCCCCACACTCCTCAAAACCTGTAACAACTACAATCAGCTTGTAACTTTAAATGTATTGTGCTCTGTGACTTCAGTTTCAGCAGTTTTGTTATTAAATTAGAAAGCAACTTAGTCATTAAAAAAAACCAAACACATTATTAATGTAAATCACTTCATTATGTGATAGGCTAGGCCAGGTAACAAAAAGGTACACTCGTTTCGAACTTAGTTTCAAATCTAGACTGGAACTCAAGGTCACTGTAACAGAGACCATAATGGTTGAAATCCAACACTCATCCTCTGGGCAGCTGCTGTTTAACACCACAGTGCTTGCCAGGTTTTGCAATCAAAACCTAGTTTGAAAGAACACTTCTTACATTCCACAGATTTCAGAACAATAATTTATTATTTTTAAGAAAGTTATACTGCTATCTTGCTTTATTTGCTAAGTAAACTAAGCAATATACAAGGGCAGTGTATAAAAAGTGCTAATCTTAAGACAATAAAGGTGCAGAGATATTGGTAAAGTACATGAAAAAAGACAATTATATTTGAATAGCATTAAAGCATAAATAGCTCGTATTTGGGAACCTGGATAAATCACAGCAATTCATAGAAGCGTTTGTCCTCCAACACAGGAAACGCTGTTCAGCACGCAGAAGTACAGTACCTTAATTAGGACTTCCTTAACAGCTCTCCCTTTCCCTGCGCGTTACACAAGCCCAACCAAGCCAGGGTAGGTGAAGGGCTGTGCCCGAGAGCACAGAAACAGCCCTGCCCGCCGCTGCTCGCCCTCATGCTCATTTCTCAGTCATGCGAGTTCTATCACAAGAAACAAGCAGCTGTAGCCTGCGCCTTCCCGTACTCGAGGTCTATTTCTAAAAGCCCAAGAAAAGCAGTCACCGTGCGACAGAGAGCGCTGGGGCTCAGCCCCGACCCTCTTAGATCTCCACTAACAGCACTTCCTTTCCCCGCGGAGCCAGCAGGCCTCCCAGAGCCTAGCTGGGCCTGGCCAGAGACACCGGCAAGAGCCCAGCTCT